CAGGAATGAAACGTCTCCATCGTGTGGTCAAATATGGAAAATCAGAAATTTTTTTTATTATTTTTTATTATTTTTTTTAAACCGGCTACAGACGTGTGGTGGGAGGGTACTGGCCTTTCCAGGGCTGCCTGGCCCCTCTGCCCCAGCGGTGGGCATAAATTGACAATCAGTTTCAAGTAAAAGATGACAAAATACCTCACTGTGCCTGCCTCATTCTGCAACTGAGGTCAATTTTAACAAGTCCCTTTGATTTCCTTTTATCCTGTTTTGAGATGCTGTAAGTGTTCTATTTTGTAGAAATAAAATCAGTGGTCAGACACCTTATTTTCTTGCCAGCAGCAATATAAGAACTCAAGTTAAAATTTTAAGTCTTTCTTTCACCAGTCAGGGATAATTAAGGTAGAGGATAAGGAGATGTGATTCAGTATGCTACTGAGGACAACAGTAATTCAAGGACTAAGTAATTTAGGGCTTTTTTTCCCCCCATCTTCTTCTGGGCAGCCTTTAGATATTTCAGTATAATCTAGTGCAACATTTTCTTGAAGCCTGTACCATGCTGTCATCCTACCACACTTCTTTTTGCTGTTCCTCTTCAGATTTACTATCCTTCTTACCCTCCTTCCTTATCAACAGCAAACTCTGCATTGCAAGATAAGTTTCTTTCTTCCATATCCCTCTCTGCTCAAGTGTTTTTAACAGGAAACTAAGCAGGAAAATTTCTCTTTAATATAATTTTATAATGCAGATTTTTGCTTAGCTCTATCTTAAATGAGACAGTAGGAACCATAGCAAGCGTTAATGTCAAACTTTTCTCAATTCAGTAAAATATGTTTCAGTCTGTGCAAGTAAATAACATGATCACATTGTTCCCCTTCTATCTCAGATCAATTACTTGGGGGCTCTGCAAGCAGAGACCTGGCTGCTCCACCACATCCATGCCAATGCTGGAATAGCAGTCCCTTGATGAAATGCAGAAAATCTCCATTTTGCCTTCTCACTGACAACATTCTACCTTCTGTAAAGCTAATGACAGGCTTTGCTCCGACGCTGCCATTTTTCAACAGACTTTGAACCATCTCTCTCAGCTTGCTAGATACCATATACTGCACAGACCTGTTGTTTTGCTATACTGGAAGTATTTTACTACCAGACAGGGATTTATGTTTTTTTGTTCTTTTCTTTTTTTCAGAGGCGTGCAGCTGACAATCTGAGAAGACATCATCAATACCAGGTACAGCTCCATGTTTATTTTTTGGGCAATTCTTTTTCTATGCTTCCAAAAGGTCTTCAGGAGGGAAAAAAAAAAAAAATGAAGAATTTCATGAGAAAGCAGGGGGGGAAAATAAAAAAAACCCAAACAACTACAAAATACATACTTATGTAATCCTCAGCAAACAAGTATAGTATTTTTGGTGTTCAAACAACAGCATTTGAGAAGTAGAGTTGTCTGCTTTTGGGATGCAAAAGGGTATTTCCTAGAGCAGTGATATATTTTGTCCAGTGTAACATGGATTGCCTTTAAAAAAAACCCAAACACGTAATCCCACCTTCCTACTGGGATTCATCAAGTTCAGTCAGTGCAGCTTACTGACATCCTCCATCAGAACCTGCTCTCCATCTCTCCAGCTCTGGTCCCCTCATAGACGACTTCCTGTCCCTTAATGCCTCTGTCTAGATCCCATGTCAGCTGTTCTTCTCTTCCATCTTTCCTGCTTCAGCCTGTGATTTTTTGAGATTGTTGTAGCACAAAGAATAATCTTCATATTTATTTTGTGTGTGTGTGTGTGTGTGTGTGTGTGTGTTAAAAGGGCTGCAAGTTAACCAAGATGTGGGCTATACACTTGTAGGCTTGGTAATTAATTGATTCAATGTGGGAAATGAGTAGGTAAACTAGAACTTCTCCAACCTGAAAAAGAGACAGCTGTGGGAAGTACAACAGGGACCTATAAAATCATGGGGAAGGTGAACACGGAGCAGCTGTTTACCATCTATCCTCAAACTGAATACCAGCCACATACTATACTGCATTAGTAAGGCTGTGGGCAACACTTTGAGGGATGCGATTATTCTCCTCCATCCCACACTTGTAAGGCTTTATCTGGGGCAGTGTATCCTGTTTTGGGCCCCCTACTACAAGAGAGATGTTAACAAACTGGAAGGAATCCAGCAAAGGGCCATCAAAATGGTTAGAGGGCTGACATAAAAGGAGAAGCTCGAATTTCAGCCTGGAGTAGGTTAAAGGGGACCTAATTGCTGTCTTCAATAATATAGTGGGTGTTGAGACACAAGAAGAAGACATTTTTCTTGGAGGTGCACAGCAAAAGAACAGGAGTCAATGTACACAAATTGTTGGAAAGAAAATTCTGTAAGCAAAATCATAATCACAGTAAGGGTAGTAAAGAATTGGAAAAAGTTGCTTAGGGAAGCTGCAGCGTCTTCACCCTTGGAGGTATTCAGCACTTGACAGGACATGGCCCTGAGCTAGATCAGGCAGTTTTGAGCCATCCTTTACAACCTAAATAATTTTAGCATTCTTAGAAGTAGAAGGCAACAATTGAAACTATCAGAGAAGAGGTTAAAAATAAACAAAACCCCAGATGGAATTTTATTCCAGCTATACCATGGAATTCATTGGCAGAGGTTTTGTGGATGCTGAAAGTTTACATGAGTTCAAAACCATAAGTAGGAAGACCTGTCACAGCCCATTAAACCTAGAGCTATCATTTCTGATTCAGAAGGTCTCTGAATCTCACATTGCAGGAGGCTTGGGACAGTGTAGCTGAAAATAACATTATACAACTGCACTAGACTTATGCTCATGAGGCATCAGCAACTGCTCACTGTTATGTTACTGGCATGAGACAAACCTTCGGTGAAACCCAATACAGCCATTCTTGGGATAATTAATATAACCTCTTTCCTTTGAAAAGCAGAACAAATTTTCAAACAGATCTAAGTTTTATACATTTTTTGACATGTTCCTAAAGCACAAAGAAATACAAGAAGGCCCAGTGAGTGTAGGTTTGATAACCAAGAAAGCTAACACGATATTTTATATTTTTAGGAAGTTATGAGAAATCTGGTTAAGAGATATGTTGCAGCAATGATAAGAGATGCCAAAACTGAGGAAGGACTAACAGAAGAAAATTTTAAGGTATGTGATAATTATATGTTTATAGGTGTTTTAGTAAGATATTACAAGATTGTGAAGCATACTTTTCAAACTCCCCGGTTGTTCAGGTAGCATATAATTTGCTTCCAGTGTCTGTGTCCTGATGGACCACATGCAGATAGCATCGTATGAGGACTCCAGCAAGTCTCCTTCTTTCTGAACACAGAGACATAATCAGTTTTATCAGCTAGTTTCATTTGTGCCCATGTAAGGAGACACCGAAGTGGTACTAGGTGTGTTTAGCAACATATTTGCTAAAGCAAGATGCAAACAGATTCAGAACCCTAGGAAATAGAGTTTTTTCTGTTTAGAGTGTTGTTGTGCATTTATTTGTATACAAAACAACTTTTATATGACTTAAAAGATGTAAAACTTAAATAAGCAGTCAAATAATAAAACCCTTTGACACAGATGAAGTGAACAGGGCCATATATATCACAACATACATCCATTACTTTGTATTTCTAGCATCAAACATTCTTGTTACTATTGGTGCCTCAAACTCCAGATATTCAAAATTGTATTCATCTGCCTCAGCTTATGCATGCGGAAGATGCAGCCAGAGCCTGAGCTGATTGTCTCATTATTGCTTCATTCAGATAATCTCGGGTGCCATCACGTGGCACAGACAGGACAACCAGGCGATCAGGCCCAGCCAGCATGGGTTTATGAAAGGCGGGTCCTGCTTGACTAACCTGATCTCCTTCTATGACAGGTTGACCTGCTTAGTGGATGAGGGAAAGGCTGTGGATGTTATCTACCTAGACTTTAGTAAAGCCTTTGACACCATTTCCTACAGCATTCTCCTGCAGAAACTGTCTGGTTATAGCTAGGATGAGTGCACTCTTTGCTGGGTGGAAAACTGTCTGGATGGCCAGGCCCAAAGAGTTGTGGTGAATGGAGTTAAACCAGTTTGCAGCTGGTCACAAGTGGTGTTCCCCAGGGCTCAGTTTTGGGGCCAGCTCTGTTTAATATCTTTATCAATGATCTGGATGAGGGGTTGAAATGCACCCTCAGTAAGTTTGCAGATGACACCAAGTTGGGTGGCAGTGTTGATCTGCATGAGGGTAGGAAGGCTCTAGAGAAGGGTCTGGAACAGGTTGGATTGGTGGTCTGAGGCCAATTGTGTGAGGTTCAACAAGGCTCAGTGCCGGGTCCTGGACTTGAGTCACAACAACCACATGCAAAATGCTACAGGCTTGGGGAAGAGTGGTTGGAAAGCTGCCTGGTGGAAAAGGACCCGGGGGAATTGTTCCACAGCCAGCTGAACATGAACCAGCAGTGTGCCCCAGTGGCCAAGAAGACCAACAGCATCCTGGCTTGTATCAGAAATAGTGTGGCCAGCAGGAGCAGGGAAGTGATTGTGCCCCTGTAATCGGCACTGGTGAAGCTGCTCCTCGAATCCTGTGTTCAGTTTTGGGCCCCTTATTACAAGAAAGACATAGAGGTGCTGGAGGGTGTCCAAAGAAGGGCAATGAAGCTGGTGAAGGGTCTGGAGCACAAGTCTTCTGAGGAGCAGCTGAGGGAACTGCGGTTGTTTAATATAAAGAAAAGGAGGCTGAGGGGAGACTTTATCACTCTCTACAAATACCTGAAAGAAAGCTGTAGTGAGGTGGATGTTGGACTCTTCTCACAAGTAAGAAATGATAGGATACAAGGAAATCTCGACCGGACGGGACGTTGCAGGATAACAACTGCAACATACCTGAAAGGATGTTGTAGCGAGGTGCGTCTTCATCTCTTCTCCCAAGTAACAAGTGATAGGAAAAGAGGAAATGGCCTCAAGTAGCACCAGGGGAGGTTTAGATTGGATATTAGGAAAAACTTCTTCACTGAAAGGGTAGTCAAGCATTGGAACAGGCTGCCCAGGGGAGGGGTTGAGTCACCATCCCTGGAGGTATTTAAAAGAGGTGTAGATGTGGTGCTTAGGAACATGGTTTAGTGGTAAACTTGGCAGTGTTAGGTTTTCAGCTGGACTTGATGGTCTTAAAGATCTTTTCCAACCCGAATGATTTTATGATTATATGATTATCCCTTTAAAGAAAATTAAGACAAATAGGGATCTCCTGAAGGCAAGTTGACTTCTCCTGAGACAGACCTTTAAGAGACAGAGGTTGCACTGGCTGAAAGCAGCCTGCAATGATTAGCTATGACTTAGCTTCTAGCTGCCAGACAGCTATTGGAAATGAATAAAGTCCTACCTGCCCTGCTACTCACATAGAAGCATGCACACATGTGTATGCCTTGTGCGCGTATGTGTCTTGTGTGTATGTGTAAGGGATGGCATTAACAGCTGATCAAAATACTGTTTTTATGATGGGATAATACTGTCTAGCAGATTAGCTGTAGGTCTTCAGGTTGTCCATGCTTCTGCCTCCACCACTGTTGGTGATTTCCATGAGTATTCTAGTTAAGGCACATTTCCTCTGAAGTTTCCTCTGATAAAATTGCTGTTCACTTTTCTGTCTCACCTGGAAGATCTATTAGACAGAGTCTGCAAAGCACCCTGAAGATGCCAGGTATTGTCCAGATGAAGTTTATTACTAATCCCTAGCATAAGCCCTTTTTTTTTTTTCTTTTTTTTAATTACAAGAGGAAATTCAAATTACCTTTCATGTTTTGATGTTTCATCTTTCTTCCTAATTTTTAGGAATTAAAACAAGATATTTCCAGCTTTCGTTTTGAAGTCCTGGGTTTATTAAAAGGAAGCAAGCTGTCTAATTTACAGACTCCAAAGATGAACAAAGACAGTGCCTCTCAGTCAGAAAATGAAGAAAATAGTGAGAATGAAGGAAACAAGAAAGGAAAGAAAAAGACCTTCAGCCTTTTTGACATAACAACAATGATTCATCCAAGATCAGCCACTATTGCCTCTGAAGCACATAATGTAAGCAATGGCTCAGCAATGATGGTGTCTGAGTCCACTAAAGAGAAACAAAAGCGTGTGAATTTTGTAACAGACATAAAAAATTTTGGGTTATTTCACAGACGATCAAAAACAAACTCTGTGGAGCAGAGTACAAATAAAATATACACTGTTTCTGAAGAAGTTTCCCGTCAACAGGCAGAAGAACAATGTGAGAAAACTGCTGAACTGGACGAGGGAGAACTGACCATGAACTGTGAATTAAACCTCCAAAATCCTGACGAAAAATGTGTGTTACCTGAATCACAAAATACCGATGACTCTTCGAGTTCACAGGAAGAGGGAAGTATTTGTGCCTCAGAAATTGAAAAAATTGAGTTACAGAACTCAGAACCAGCCACACCACAGGATCAGCTGGATAAGGAGTTGGACATTAGCATTGACTGTGATGGGAAACAGGAAACAACTGATCAGGGTGATTATGTGATAACAAGGTTGTGATGCTTACAGGAGGAAGCATTTACAAATATATATATTTTGCATAGTGCTTTTTTGGGGGGGAATGTTTTAAGAATTATATTAGCAAATGCAGAATTACACTTTATAGTACTCAACTGTGGCACATGATCTTGTAACATAGTAGTCAAGAGAAAGATAATACGGGACCTTCTGTTTTGTAGCCTGCTTTAGCTTTCATGATTTGTTTTACATTTTTTAATAAATGGAAGCATCTTGTATTCTTGTACTGTTGCAATAATCCACAGAAACTTTTTAGCTATCTTTTTCAATTACAACAAATGCAATTTCTCTCATGATAGTTGACTCCTATGATAAATATTTTTCTATGCAAATAAAAAGTAGCTTAAGAGACTTGTAAGCCTTTATTTAACTTCATAGGTTCTTAAAAGATTCTGGGCACCATAATAATCATAAGCGGCTCCTGTCAGCACAATTCATATCAAGCTAATGGAATCATTTATTTGAATTGCTAGAAACTTGATTTGTTTCAAAAGCTATACAGAATCGAAAGATAAAGTATATTCTTTTATTTATTGAAGGACTATGAATACCTGTAAATTATTAAAAATCAGTTTATTTGATTATTTAGTTACAGCTTCTGCCTCCCAGCAAGAGGATTATCACCATCCTGATACCATTGTTAGAATTGCATTTGTAAGATTTGAAGACTGTAAAAAAATGTTTGTTATAGTAAAAGAAATATCTATGGCTTGCTAAAAACTGATGGCGGGGTACTCCCCAAAAATCTGTAATCACAACAGCTTCTGCTTCTTCAACCATTTATTTTTCCAAATGTGGACAACTTATGCACTTTAATATTTAACTGCTTATTAGCTTTTGCCTTCACAATACACTTGTTTTTGCTAAGAGAAGGATACTTCAGGAATAAACAAACATACAATGATCCCCTGAGTACTTGGAAAAATATGGCAATTTGTTGAGAAGTTTTTAAAGGCAAGCCTTAAGAGAGTTGCTTTGACAATTTCAGTGTTTGGGGGAAGCTGATTGGAGGTTTTATAAAAAATACTTAGACATTTAAATGTATAAAGAAAACCTAACAGTATTTTTCATAACTGATGAGTGACTTACTGTCTTAGTCAAAAACATTATTTTTAAAATTAAACAGTCTGTTTCTTTTTAATCAGTGACTGGTGTTCTACATTATTAAAAATATAGTTTCAGAACTGACTTAAGAATGGCCACCCTCAAACTCAGCATCACCCTTCTCATCCCTTGGAAACACATGAATGTATACCACATCAATGTGGTCATTTCATTCTTAACTTCCCTAGCCCTGCCATGATAGATTTTGTAGTTCATATTAGCCTGTATTAAGGAACGTCCAGATGCATAGAGTATATTTACATTCCAGATGGAATACATCACGTGTAAGTCCCACCTTGTAGGACCTGACCTAAAGCCATACCATCCTGGATCTAAACTATCCTGGTACTGAACTGAATTTTGAAAATCCAGACAAACCCCTCTCATGTCTTTACTCTTAGGTGAATTTTCTAGCTCTGCTTTACACATATGCTGCTCTCTCTGAGGTCACATGTTGAAAACTTCCTTCTTGCACATCTGTCTATGCCATGGCACCTAGGAGGGAATTAGTTGAACCAAAATGGAAAATATGAGCAGTAATTAGAAAATAGTTTGTATAGCTTTGCAACAATGCCTTCAAACCACATTTGATTGCTAAGATACGGTTTATTTCCATCTTGGCCTCTTGACTTCTCTGTGGACCCTCTCTCCTTCACATTTCTCTCCTTGTCCACCTTTAGATTGTGAGCTCCTCGGGGCAGGGCCTGTAGCTTTTCTGTTTGGAAAGCACCTGAATTATTACAAGCATAAGAAGAAATAAATAATAATAATAATAATAATGGCAGAATACCTTCATATCATTTTTACTAGGTCAACTCTTTTAGAGAGTTCTCTTTTCTACTGTAACATTTGTGCTAATAATGACATAAAGCAAATGTGTCACACGTTGTCACAAAGCCCTGTATATCCCAGTTAACAGTCCTCCTCTACCACTAATTTCACTTTCTCATTCTTCATCATGGTTTGTAACACCTTGGAGTCCTAAGCTTACTGCCCTTTCACTAGTGAAATTAAAAACAAACAGTCCTCACTCCAAAGAGCTTTCAATGCATTCCAGCCACGTGGTTTCATTCCAGACAAAATGTGCCTGAGCAGGGTATTTACAATGCCATAAGCACCGTTATCAGAACAAGTTAACTACCACAGGTCTAAGCTCTGCATATTATTCTGCCATCATAGGAGCCTATTTCTCGTGTGTATGCAGTTCCCAACAGGGCAAAAACACAGGATGGTTAACCTGAAACATCAGCCATACCATCACATCATGATGTGATGTGCTGTGCTGGGAGTTGGTGTAAGTCTTGGAGGCAGAACAGCAAAGGCAGCTCAGATGGGCAAGATATTTAGGCAAAGGGCTATGACATTGTATTGCGTAGCAATAGGTAGTCAGTCTTTTCCTGTCTTTTTTTTTTTCTTTTATATCCAAATATTGAAATGAAGGTCTATTAAATAAAAGATACTTCAAATCACCATTTGCTTTTATTTTTATGTGATACTAGGCATCAAATCCTGACACCAGTAAGGACCTGATCCTTTTCCATTTAAATTTAATGGCAAATAAACACCTAATTCTGTGAAAAAATATAAGGACTCAAAATATGTCCAAATTTGAAATGGTGATGTTCTTTTATTGCTTTGCAGACACCAAAAAAGCCCGTCTCAGTGAATGCCTTCAGAGGACATTTGTGCCAAAAAGGATTTAGAGGTGCACAGACCAAGGTTTGTAATGCCACAGCAGAGGCATTATTAAGCTTTACAAAGCTGAACATACCTTCTCCTCAAGAGAAATAAAAGGTTCAAGCCTATGTGTCCCTGCCTCCAGCCTCCATTAGCATCAATATAAGAGGAATATAAAACAATCAGGATATAAACCCCTATAAAAGGCAGTCTTTTGAAGCAGAGCTTAAAATTATGAAATGTTTCAAGAATGTAGAAAAATTGTCTAAATGCAAAGAGGTTTAATCCTCACAATATCAGGTTGTTCAGAATGTTCAGAACGCTTTTTTAAAATTTATACCTTTTTTTTTTTTTTTTTTTTTTTTTAATAAGGACAAAACTTGACTGTCCTTTGCATTTTCATCAGTTCTTGGAGAAACAAAGAGAGTGTAGACAGCACAGTAGAACTTTTCTACCCTGGCATAGCTGGGCAGGAGCCAACTTGAATTCTTGCAACCCAGTTCTCCCAAGCACAGCAAGTCTGAGCCAAAACAGAGGGGGTAGTGGATGTGTTTATCAAGGTTGGTTTGTCTTTCACTCTGGCCCTGCGAGCCAGCTACAGGCCACTGCGCTCCCTGAATTTAATACAATATGACCACAGAACAAGCCAGGCAGATGCCTCTCAGGGGTAACCATTGCTCTGCAGCTGGTTTTAATATTGTTTTCTTGGTCCACAGATTGAGGCCATTATGCTTTGACTGGTGTGAGCCAGGCACCTCATACATACTGTTTGTATGAGGCACTTGGCACACACCACTTTTTTTTTCTTTCTTTTTTTTTTTAAATAGGTCAGAATTTAATAATAAATTCTATAAATTCTATGAGTTTCCTAATCAGACTTTTTCTGTGAATAAGTAATGTCAAGTTCCAGGAGAATGTATATATCTTATAGCTATAACCCCTGAGTGCTGTAAAAGGTGAGGAAATTTCTAGTATTTGAGCACCCAAAAGTTCTTCAACAGAATGTTTGAAACAAGAATGTCTTCCTTAATAGCATCTTTGGAATGATCTTTCAGGAGGAGAATTTCTGTGTAGCTTCCTCACAGGAATAAAGCCTAGACAAAAGACACAAAGAAATGGTTATATGTCCATCTCAAATTCTACTATATATGTGTGTGTGTGTGTGTGTATATATATATGTGTGTATATATATATATATGTATATATTGTATATGTATATCAAGTTTTCCTGTCAGAATATAGAGGTATAAGTTGGGCAACAGCACAATCCATCTTCTGTTTAAAGTCTCTTAAGAGATAACAACAGCTTTAGTGAGTAGGGTAAACACACAAAAACAATAGTATTGGTAATGGTAGTGGTAGTGATTGCAGTAGCACTAGTACTACTAGTACTAGTAGTAGTGGTAGTAGTAGTAGTAGTAGTAGTAGTAGCAAATATAAGTGTAGCAATGTAGCAATAGCGGTCTTATACTTTTACCCTTGGGAAGTGGAACTCAGTTCTAATCCCTGCTCTAAAATTTTCCTGTTTTCCATGTTCAGCAACTATTTGGTAACACCAGTAAGCTGTCCTTGGGGACAGCTGTCCTCCAACATAAGTCCTCTAGTCTCTAAACTAAAAATCATACTTCTCTGTGTTTCAAGCCTTTGACTAGCAGCAGCTGTAGTTATGGACCCTGCATTCACTGCAGCAGGAGATGATTAGAGCTCCTTTGAGATATTTTACGGTTAAGTAGCGGGATATACTCCAAAATAAATTGCTGTGGTTAAGAATGAGTTTGAACCCCCCAGATATGAAAAGGAATTGAACCCCATTGAACTATATCAGCTCAAGTTCACTAACCACTGATTTAGTACTTGAGAAGTTGCCTTATCTGTATAAGTGTAGAAAAGAATGGAGCAGAGACAGCTTCTTGTTAACATAAAAACAATCCAAAAAATGTTGCCGCCTTCAACCTTCATGAACATAGGACTGTAACAAAAGAACAGGACACTCAGTCATACAATATACTTTGATTTTATCACAGGTCCCACCATCACATAGTTCTCTTCCTAAATCAATCAAATCCTTTGCTATTGTTCAATATGATTATGAAATCTTTATACACATGATTAATTTCAACTGTTTATATTTATACCTTTTGGGCAATCATTATCTTTCATATATTTTATAGCTTTTCTCTGACGTGTTTGTTCTTCTTGTTTGTACTCTTCCCCTTTTAGCCTTGGGTTTCTTTGGGTGTAGTTTAAACTAAGTATGGGGCTTTTTTTTTCATTTTAACTAAAACTTTCTGCTCTCTCTAGTTGACTGTCATAGTTACAATCAAGTGCTGAGCAGCATTAGGTGTAGCAGTGTTCAATACTTCTGTAGCCTTTTATGT